TCAAACGGGTCGGTCTTTTCACAGGAATGGGCCTCTGTTGGGCCGTGCCACGTGTCGACGTATCATAGGCGCTTTGGGTCCAATGAGTGGATGACATCTGTCCCAACGGCGAGCCGACACGTGTTCCCTCCAGCCAATGATGATTTTACACGTGGAAAATCCCCATTGGTTGGGGCTGTTAACGGGTTACCGGATCCAAAACCGGACCAGATAGCTTAAGGCGTTCCGTTACGGTGGATGCCACGTGTCGGTCACCCTTGACGAAAGCACTTATGTGACGCGCGATTTATCGTCATGGAAGTGGACACTTCCGTGATGATAATTTTGATAATGTCATGGAACACTTCTATGACAGCACAGGTATGACTATCTTGGATTTGTCATAAATTTTTCATGGATGTACATGCATGACAGAAAACGTGACCTACTGTGACAAACACGTATCATCATGGAAGTGTATTTTTTTATAGTGCCATAAATATGTAGGACTCATCAGTATTGTAAAAAAAATGCAAATTAAGCCCTCTGCTATGCTTTTAGCTGCAGTTAACAGATAGCTAATCTTCTCAGAAATTCTCCATATTTGATGTTCGAAAGAAAACTTATCCTTGGCTATATGCACGTTGGATCCTCGATTCTTCATTACTCTTTATTAGCCACCAGCAAGTCTTGTGCTCTTTTTACAGTCAGTACTACTACCACCACAAAAGGCACCTCCCAGTAGTATAGCAGCTAAACCATCGAAGACAGTATTAGTGCATGTTTTGGATACAGTCAAATGGAGAATCTGGTAAGAATATTCTTTATCTGTTAACAACGGGCAGTTTGGGCATTGACTTTTGCAGGTGGGCCGAGGCGTTGGTGCTGGCGAGGCTGGGCTGGGCTGTGGGGTTTGTTTTCCAAACAATTCCAAAAGGACTAAAGTCTCATTCAAAAGTTTGGGCTTTCTGCTGGAAGCATTCAATGATTTTACTCAAAAAAAACTCAATGCCGCTAGACACGACCGTTGGCTGTAGATTTTTAATTCTTTTAGTAATGTTGCTACTGAAACCTTGATTTTTTTTGTAGTTTCATCATGGGACAATTGGATCTTAGATGAACTCGGACACATCTCTGTTCCTAGAATGTTGCCATCTTGCTATATGCAAAATAAACTAGTGTACTTTATAAAATTGAAATTTGTGCAGTGGTTGTTCACGACCAAATTTTGATTAAATGATTTATATCTTCTATCTCTCCTTTGAACAATAATGAAGATGATTTGGTCCAATTATTTTTGTTCATGCATCATGGCTTATTTTTCTTATTGTCATATGAAGTTTAGAATATCAGAGTTCTACATTTGCTGCCAACATTTTAAAATCTATCTCTCCTGGAGAAATTTGAAACCTAGTTTCTTCAGTTTTAGATATTTCTTCAGTTTCCACCTGTGCTCCACATGAAGTACCAATTTTCAGTGGGTAAATTTTCGGTTAGCAAAACTTTTAGATAAAACCTGGGAGTAATGGCTTATCATGCTAGAAATTTCAAGCCCGTCTCACAATGTTTTTCCGTCAGTGTGTTTGGAAAAATCTTGGAATTAATAGCTTATCACACACTAGAAATCTGGTTGTAACTAGCTCAAACACAAAGTCGTGTTATAAAGCTTGTCATAAGAAAAACCTGACATGTAATGGTTCCAAGAAGGCGATACATGATTTATTGTTGTGTTTCTGAATGCTGGGTATGGAGAATGTGAGACTTCAAGACATATAGATAGTTATGTACTTCCAAGAGCACCAGTATGTGTTTGAATCAATAGATCAAAGTTTCTTTACATGCTCGCAGTTCTCCTTCCGATGTTTCTGCAGGATATTGATTTGTTGGTGATGACTCTGAATGTGAGGGTGCTAAGAAGTACATGATGGATTGTGAAGTTCCCTCTATTACATGAAGAAGAATGACAGTAAAGACTTACGGTATGGTACCTCCCTGTACTCTATTGTCTTCATCTCATGTATCTTTCTTTTTTTATATAGAAATTCCATTGTTAACAATGGGATTTGACACCCCTAGGGCAGAGGCTACTTACCGATTATCACCTTGCATAGGATGGAAGATGCGCACTTGGAGAAGGTCCAGCCAGTCGATCGCCTTTGTACATACCTAGCTCTCCAGTTTTTACTTTTGCTTATTTTATAGTGTTAAAATCGCTTAACTCATTGCTTCTGAAAATATTAGTGAAATCGAGTTGTTGGTGGCCACCTCTTAACCAGAGGAAAAGGTGACCTTCAGCAAGTTGAAGCCAAACGTCCTGCTCTGCTTTTCAAGTAGCAGCTTACAACTTACGTTCATGCGGCCATGTTGCCTCCTCTCAATTATCTGCACTCTGCAGACAGGCTATCCACCATAAATTCACGACTTTAGTTTACCTTCATATCTGCTTATTTAAAGTACAAAAGGTTTGTGTCTTGATGTGTTGATAGATGCGAAAATAGTTCATGATATAGACTTTGAAAATTTGTGTCTTTGTAAAATCATAATTCGATTGCAGTTCTTGATGGTTGTCTGATTTTCTTGTATCTTTTGAAGAATGTTAACCTAAGGAAATTAGACAAATTAGTTGTACATAACTTTGCAAATTTAGTATGTCGGTCGCATTTCTAACTTTAAAATAGAGAGATCATAAGCCATGTGAAAAGTCATTTTAATAGGAGGCCGAGTTGCATGCAAGTGCATGTAGAAGTTCACTCTTATTTTTATTAGATATAATTTGCACAGTGCTTATCATAACTGTGTTAGTTGCACACTCACTGTGGCCTTGTTAAAATGATTGTCTGCATGACAACTTCCATGATATAAAGCACTAAGACACATTTGAAGTAATATCTTGAGAAGAAGAAAGGTTATATTGTGGAAAGGGTGTTTAAAATGTTGGTTTGTTGGACAAATGGACGGCAGAATATACATCATGGACCTACTTAGCAAAGTGAGCAGATGTTGTTTTGTGAGTACGGAATAATGTCTCCATGAGGTGAATTTGATCGTGATTTACATACTTATATACTCTATAAGGTTCATGTAGGAAAATATTAATGTAAGAGTGATAGCTCAAGGTTGAACGAGTACAACATTAATGTAGTGTTGAAGCAACATGCCTTCAAAGCATCTATCTTGGTCGCTACAATTTTTTGCTGATTGATTCTAAATTGGTAAGGTGGTTCATAGTGTTATACTGTCAGACACAAGCTATGATCATTCAACTGCTCCATTATGCAAAAAAAACAATGTAGTTAGAAATAGTAGAGTGCTAAATATTTACATTATAAGGCTGAATCATCTCATTTGCTAACTGAACCAGAGATGTTGAGCACCTGTTCGATGGAAGCTCATTTACCATAATGCTAAATATTTTTTTGAAGCATTGTGGAGGGCTGGTGTAAGAACAATTGTATTGTCCAACTTAAGAACCCATCTCTGGACACTTTTAGAGGCCCTGGAATGAGATCACTTGTTTAATGTAGTCGTTGTATCTGCTGAGGTGGGTACAGATTTACAGAGGAGTAGCCTAAACTAAGCATGCTAGGTGAACCTTCACTATGTATCTAATGTCCTTTGTATGCAGGTTCTACCTTCGGTTTTCTATTAATATTCGACATAAATTCAGTTCTCTGCTTTCTCTGCTAACAGGTTGCAGCAAGAAACTCGAATCCAACAATATTCTTGGAAGCTTGTGAGTTGTTGGGCGGGAAGCCTAAAGAGATTGTATTCAGTCTAAGATGACTAATTTATATGAGTATTCTCTCTATTTGCCTATTCCAGTCACCATTACTTGTAGTGTTTGGAGTGTGCTTGTGCCCTACTCTTGATAGAAGTTAAAATGAGATACTATGTACGATAGAAAAACAAAGTCATCCCAATGATTTTTATACTGACATGGTGTCCCGAGCACCCTATGATGGAGCATCACTCTCCATCATGCTGACAACTTAGATATATGGATTGAAATAAAAAATAGAGGATGATGTTGACTTAAACAAAATTTAGGGGAGAATCTTCATGAGGGGGTCCCCTATTCCTCTTGTATCCCCTAACCCTGCCCATGCGATACGCTCGACATCCATGCCTGTCCCCTAGAGAGTAGGAGAAAGGATGAGTGGAGGAAGGGAGAGACGGAGATATATATAGAGAGGAAAGGTTTACATGACGATTGTTGTCGACTCAATCAAATATAGTATATGCATTATAGCCCGTAGCAACGCACGGGTGTTCTACTAGTCTTCACCTAGGTATTGAGTAGGAGTCACAAAAATTGTTTGTATTAATATCTTAATCAAACTTGTTATATTACTACAATATTTTATTTATTTATTTTTGGATTAGTTAGAATTGCTTATCACATATGTCACATAGTGCATATTACTACAATATTAAACTTCTTGATTTTTAAATAATTTGCTGCTAACTAGGGCGAGCAAGGACATTTCTTTGTAAGTTTACATGTGCGCTGCATGGGCATGCTTGGGGGGCGTAGGGAGGGGGCGGGACAGGCTAACATAAGCACACTGGGAAATACTATAACACAACTGTTCAGTGGGGTGGAAGGGGGATTGCAAGCTGGATCCCCCATTGATACGTCGAGCTTGGTATGCATGGCGGAGAGGCAGATAGTGTGTGGAGAAAGGAGAAGGAAAAAAGTGATTAGCGTTGATAAAATTTGATAATGTCACTTGATGTGCATGAGGATCCTCGAGATATATTGTATGTGTTGAATATTTGTGCCCCCGTTGCAACGCACGATCATTGTCCTAGTTTACATAATTATGAACATACCCCACGCAAAGAAGAACAGAAGGTACATACGACTGCCTGCTAGGGAATATTGCTTTTGAAGGCCTCGAAGATTAATGGGGCACTTCGTTCTCTATGTTTTCATGGCAGGAGGATCCAAAACAACTTGTTCTGGAAATGGCTGCTGCCCGTTCAATGGTTTGACAAAAATGACGTATCTGACATGAGATTCAAATACTTGATGTATTTGGCAAATGATCAAGCCGACCGTTCAGTATTTGGCGGGCTCGGGAGCTTCGGTACTGCAGTCGCTGGTGCAGTGCTTCTGACATTTGCTCAAAAAATTCAGGATCCCATCTCTGAATTAGAAGAGGGTCCTCAGCATAGCATATGTATATTGATGTAACTGCGCTTTCAACAACCACGACAGTTAGCCCGACCTGCAAAATAAAGCGGCTCTCAGTTCCGAATAAACTCAGCAGGAAATATTTAACTCGAAATATCCATAACAGATACTCCCTCCGTCCGGAAAAGCTTGTCCCAAGCTTGTCCATCAAATGGATGTATTTAGCAGTAACTTGGTGCTAGATACATCCATTTGAGGGACAAGTTTTTCTGGACGGAGGGAGTACTATTCATAAAATTCAGTCATGCAGCTCCTAGCAATACGTAAGAGTTTCTACTGCAAGAAAAATACATAATCCGGGAGGCCCCTTTAAAACACTTCAATCAAAACTGGATGCTCATGTAAGCACTTACCAGTATCATGCCAATCAGCATAGAGGTCGAGCCAACCATAATTGCTTTATCACGTTGTGTGAAATATGTCCAAACACCAGTACAAGTTCCTGTAATTAACCCACCTAATATTGTGCTCATCAAAAGAACAGCACCAGAACAATCATAAGCAATAAGTGCTTCAATGCCAGTCGACTGGAACAGCTCCCAAGCATCCCTAGCTGAACGATTGAAACTCTGTCCGTTGACAGCTATCTGAAAGTGAAAAACAGTGTGATACAAGTGTATAATGCAGTAGTAAGCCCGAAACCATTGTTTAGGTAATGATCAGCAACTTGATTGATATCAATAACCAATACTATGAAGGAACAAATCATTTCTCCATACAAAGTTTTACCAATTCGAAAAGAACAAAATCAGCGATTTGCTTCGCAGTCACATGCTTTGGGTATCAAGATTCCTAAGGACGGGAATGAGCCGACCCGCTCTGGCCCAGACCTGGTACCCGTTGGCCCCTCTGCTTTCTTCAGGGACATGGTGCCTGCCCAATGATCCAGTGGTGACTGGCCTCATATCCCCTTGGGTAACATGGTCCGACCCATTTTAATACTAGATTCATATAAAATAGGGAGTAGTAGTACAACATCTTTACAAACAGAATCATTTATCGGTAGGAATTTTAGCATGTCTAGAAAAACAGGCTATTTCTAGCATGAACACGCTTAGCATCACAAGTTAGCATATTTGCAACTCTACAACAGAGGCAATTTTGGATCAAGATTTTAAAATTTTCCTATAAACCGGATGCTAACAAAACTTGCAAAGGTGTATGCTATTGTAACGACATAATGCATCTTGAGCAATTAAATTTGTGTCGACCCGCTTGTCCCGATGGGCCGTAGGGGGCAGGCTCCCCTGGCCCAGTTTTCATGCAAAGCTGATATAGTTTGAGGAAACATGAAAAAAAAACATAGTGCACAAATATGCATGGCAAAACTGCAAAACACAGAGAACAGACTCTTTTAACTTGATATCTTATACATCCTGAGAACTTCTGAATAGATAAACTCATATTTGCAACTGACCTGCACATATGCATATTTGTTGAAGAAACGAACAAGTGTCTCCACAATATGAAAGAAAAAATCAACACAGCACAGAAGACACTCGTTGTTGCCAATTTTAGAACGAACTCCTCTAATCTGAAATTAAATATAAAGAATGAAAAGGAGTAAACAAATGGCAGGCAATTAATTGATAGTTAAAAATTTCACACCAGCTAACTCTAGCCAGTAAGTCACAGACCTCCCAACGTAAAGTCCTAATGGCAGCCGTAAAGAGTGATCCATAGCAAATGCTTCCAAAAGAAGTTGTAACAGCATACTGAAGTGACTTTAGAAGTGGTTTGGGGGGCATCGACGCAGCAGCTTGTCCACCATGAATGAGAACAAGGAACACCATTCCTGATACTATGACATGGACTGTATTACTAAGGACAGCTCCAGTCCAAAACAAACTGACTGATAAAGCCTGCAAATTGCAGGATAATTATTAGAAAATAACTAAAAGCAAAGAAAACATTGAAATCCAACATAGAATAATGGCAACAACTTGCCCTCACCAGAACAAGCCACCATTGCCCACAATTCGGTATGGGCATAGCAACAATGCCAGAAACTCCAAAGGACCATAATGCCATCCAACAAAGCATTACCAGTACAAATGCATATGCTATTCTCATCACATCTGGAAGTTCCCAGACCATCTTTATTGCCTTTTGCAGTACTAGCATTGTAAATGGAAATCTAGCAAAAAAAAAGTTAGTTTTGAACAAATATATTACTCACGACTTCATGAGAATAAAAATCGTTCTTTTTTTATTTTACCACATAATTAAAACAGCAATAAGGAAATTAACAATACTGCGATCAAGCAGAAGTCGGCTAATGGACAGAATATCTTCTAGTACAGCAGGAACTCTGAGATTAAATTGAGAATTTGAGATGCAGAGGCTGGGGGTTCCAACCTCCTTATTGAAAAAAGAAAAAAAACTGTCTAACTGAGGTCCCATGTTGTTATCAAATACATGCGGAAAAGATTATCTCCCAGCAGAACCTTCGGAACAATAGTCATCCAAAAAAGAAAGGCATGATGTTTTCTTCCTAAAATAAGATCAACTTACAAAGCAAACTAGCCAATACATGATTATAGCAAAAAATATATATCCTGATCCAAGGATGGCATGAATGATTAACAGGATATCTACACTAGAATTCTCCACTTTTGAATCTATACAAGATCCACAGCTTTCTTCCAGAGACCGTCATGAATTGCAAATAAGCTGCCATGCCACTTTCATATTAAATAGAAACTTAAGATGCTTTAGAACAAAACTGAACATCTACTTTGTTAGAAAATGGCTTAACTGGGTCAATAACAGAGGAACCACTTGCTTCCAAGTTTCTGCTAATATGTGTTAGAATAAATCCGAGTCGCTCCGTCGATCTACCGAGGATCAAGCAATCATACCAGCACGACACCGAGATTTGTTAACGAGGTTCATCGATATGGCTACATCCCCGGGGCCTGACTACGGGCGCTCCTCCCCGTGACACCGTCACAATACCGCACACCGGCCACCCGGGCGCCGGCACACGCCGCCGGCTCCCCCTTGCGCGCCTGTGCTATTATGTTGGCATAGGTTACATCATGTGTCTACCCCCGCTATATATGAGAGGCCTAGGATACAAGTGTCCTATTAGGACACGACTCCATATCCTATGTAAACACAATACAACTTCTAGTCCAACTGTAACCTAACTTGTACACAATATTCGACACAACTCTAACAATATGATTAATATAGGGTAGAGTGCAAGATAATACACCCAAAATCAATGGCTAATTACTAGTAGAAATCAGCATCAAGTTTGATACTGGTTTGATGTGCATAGCCAGTTAGACACCCAGTACCAACTTTGTGGCTTCATCCCACTATGATATTGTTTACACGCTAAGGTAAAACTCAATAGCATGTTGTGTCATGCCCAAATATTTTGGCTTCACAATCCACCCAATTTATATGCAAGTTTTAAGGCTGAGATGGTAAGGTGGCCTACATAGTTACAGTACAAGTATTCACTATTCAGGCCTATTAGTAAATTAGTAAACTCCTACACCACATGCATCTTTCACCTAAAGAATGCATGCACCAACTTGTTCCACTGAGCAAAGCTGCATTTGGAAAGTATACCGATATGCTAACTCAACCCCGCATATGTCCAATAATGACAATATAGCAATAGTTAAACAAGCTAAAACGAAATTCAACTGACTTGTCCAATGCAACTGATTAAACTTGTACGCAAATATAGGGGCAGTGCAGCTATTCCACCATACTACACTTGCTGATTTTACTGGCTTTCCTTCCATACAACTATAATAACATTAATATTGAAACAGGATTGACGTTAAATCGTTCAAACATATAGCTATCAATGAAGCCTGCTTATTTGCAAGCTAACCATTTAGGAATGCACCCAAATGATGATAAGATTTTCTGAACCATAGTTTTTTGTTCAGCTATATTATTTGGTAGGTACTACGAACAAAAGCAGCACAATGCTTAAACTGTGAATTTCCCGTTCAAACCACGTTGACTCCAAAGCATATCATCAAAGAAAGCACTGGACTGCTTGCATACAGCCATATGCGCACAAGGACGTTCACACTGTTTGAAAGGGGGCGTGAGAACAGACATGAATCAATCCCCTAACATAATTCTCATGAATGGTTTCTTCAATTGTGCAGAAATTTACTTATCTTGTTCAACGTTGGTGTCACATCCTCAACCAATACAGTCCAAATTCACTATATGAAATTGCCAGAAACCACAGAGCAATTCCGAAATGCAGTTGAGGTTGAGTGTACCTATCAATCACTGACATGACGTAAAGGAAGTGGAGCGCAGCGCCTACAGCGAGGGCCACGCCCCAGAAGGAGTGGTTTCCCCAGAAGCAGAGCACGCTGATGACGGCAAGGTACGCCGTGAGGCTGTGCACGGCGGCCCGCATGAGCACCCTCCCCCCGTCCTTCTTCCCGGCCGCCGCCGCCAGCCAGGACCACGCGAGCAGCGTCCCCACCGCCCCCGCAGCGCCGTAGTACTTCCAGTACGTCTCCGTCAGCTCGGGGGGCAGCGCCTTCTCCTTGGACACGCCAACATCCGACCCCGGCGGCGCGACTGCGGCGGATGGCGCGGCGGCGGTGTGGTTGGCGTAGCGGTCGATGTTGAAGCGGTCGGCTACGCGGAAACGGTTGAGGCCGGCGAGCGCGAGCGCCCCGCCGAAGACGAGCAGGTGGAGGAGGAAGACGACCAGCCAGAAGACGTCGCGGCAGCGGCGCCTGGGCCACGCCGCCGGCCCCGCTCCCGGCCGGCCCCCCGCCGGCGCCGGCGGCGGGGGGCTAGGGTTCCCGCTCTGGTCCGACGAGGACGGGGAGGAAGACGACATCGCGGCGATCGACGATCCGCGCAGAGACTGCGACGGGACTAGCGTAGGGGGGGTTGGAGTCGAAGAGGGTGATTAGTGGTACAGTATCAGCGATTAGCGTTGAGGAGTGGAGAAGGTAACTGCTCTGCGCGGTAACCGTTTTGGGTCATCCAGGAGGCGCGGCGACGACTTGCGTGCGAAATGATGGAGAGGCGGGGCGACCACTTGCGCGACTCAAAGTGCGAAATGATGGAGACGTCGCCGCGGAAGGAACTGGCCAGCGGCTTGGTTCGTCCGGAGGCGGGGCCTTCTGTTGCGTCGCCACGAATCGGAACGGAAGGAAGACTGGCAAATTTTGGGTTTCCACCGGCGGTCGGTTTCAAAGGGACAGTGTTTCAGTTTGCTTAAAAAAAATTATTTGGATTGCTTATCACATCCTCCCTCCGTTCCATATTAGTTGTCTCTGAAATGGATGTATCTAAATGTATTTCGGTGCAAGATACATACGGAGAGAGTACTAGTTAATGTGTACGTGCAATGCACGTTAATTTGGAAGGATATTAAGTGCATGTGAATATTAAGTAAGATATTATTTGTGTGCTATTATGTGATTAGCATTATATTTGACATTAAATTAACTGCATACTAAACGTCTTAAGTGCTCGATATGGAAGTAGTCTAGGTCGTTGGATTGAGATAATTTGATGGCTGAGATTAATTGAATCTGCCCATTTGAGTCTTTTTATATTGGTATAGATGTAGATTGCATGTGTTTTCAGTTTGATTTTCATCGATCCATTAACAGACGAGTACCAATGAACTAACGTGTGTTGGTACTGAGATGAAAAAATATGTAAACATTTTTTTAGACGAAAGGTATCAGCCCGACTTTATAAATAAAACCATCAGACAATGTTCACTAGACAAATAGACAAGTAGCCAAAGCCCAAAGACGCACAAAATAAACATAGTCCTGATACATGGCTCCCAAGCCATAGGAACGTACCTAGTGCACCGGGGCAATTGATGCTACCGGTGCACCAAACTCTATTGCACACTTCAAAATTTTTGAAAAAATCCGGAAAAAAATAGTGCATTGACACAACATCGATGTAAGTTGTCACAAAAATTTAAATCAAAATTTGAAACATTGCTAGAGGTACAAAAATGACAAATTTGATATAAATATGCTAATTGGCCAAAACTGAAGCCCAACTTGTGTTATGTACTATTCAGTGTCAAATTTATCATTTTTATATCTCAAGCAATGTTTTGAATTTTGATTTGAATTTTTGTGACAACATACATTGATGTTGTGTCAATGCACTAAATTTTTTACGGATTTTTTGACATTTTTTAATGTGTAGCGGGGGACCGGTGCACCGGTAGCACCAATTGCCCCGGTGCACCAGATATATTCCCCCCAAGCCATACATGGCACACAAGCCAAAATACGAAGAACACAGCAGCAAGAGGACCTCCAAGTTCCATTAAACTCCTGGTTGCCGGCGCGACAGGGAAAATGCAGTAGCCCGAATCTTTGAAGTCATCATGTCGAAAGCCTCGTGGTCAGCGTCCCTAGTCAATGATCACCACTGCTGCAAGAGTATGCAAGATTTAAATAAGAAGTCAACAGGTTTAGTCGGGAAGGAGTGTCCGATAGTAAAGTTGTTTCTACTAGTCCACAGCGACCAACAAATCGCCGCAAACCCCACCCAGGAAACCCGTTTAGAGATCCCAGACAGGCCATTGGTCAAGACCCTAAGTTCAGTAAAGGATGATGGGCTCTGAGAAACGTGAAGCCAAGATCTGATACATCACCACACGAATTTGGCCAGGGAGCAGTGGAAGAAGATATGCTTCGTATCTTCGAGCACACCACACAAAGCACACCTATCCGAACCAGGGTCGTTCCGCTTGCGGATTTGGTCAGCATCAGGCAGCCTTCCACGGAACGCTTGCCATAGGAATATTTTAATCTTAGGAGGGACACGAGCACGCTAGATAATCTTAAACTTAGAGGTAGGAGACCCTGAGATTAGTTTGGCATATAATGACTTAACAGAGAAGCGACCAAAAGCAGAATGGGGCCAGACCACCGAGTCCTCCCCCTCCGAGAGCAAAGGGATGCGGGCAACAAGTCACTGCCAATCATCCAACTCTTCAGGAGTCAGAGCCCTACGAAGGTCCATGTCCCAGTTATTCTCAGAGAGCTCAAAGATAGAGATCTTCGGATCCGGACAGTAATAGAAGAGCACTGGAAATGCCACCGCGAGAGTGGAGTCCTCATACCACCAATCCAACCAGAAACGCATAGACTTGCCATTCCGGACACCAAATCTTACTAAGGATTGAAACACCGGGAAGAATTTCACGAGATCTTTCCAAAATTGGGAGCCACCAGTCGATGAAGCAAACATGGGGCTAGATAAAGGGAAGTATTTAGCTTTAAGGATGCTAAGCCATAGCTGGGGCTCCGAGGCAGACATGATTTTCCACCACCATTTGATGATGAGGCATTTGTTTATAACAAATGTGTCAATGATGCCCAACCCCCCAAGTTCTTTGGTCTGCAAATTAGCTTCCACTTCACCGTCCTATATTTACGTTTGTTATCGGCCGAATTCCAATAGAAAGCACCCCTGTGCTTGTCAAAGCCAGCATGAATCCCTCCAGAAAGGAGGTAGAATCCCATAAAAACATGGCGAGGGAGGAGAGGCACGCGCTAATAAGAGCAATCTTGCCCGCTTGAGTGTTGTATCGGCCTCTCCACGGCATAACCCGATTGCCCACTGAGGGCGTCCTGGATTAGGGGGTCTCCGGACAGCCGGACTATATTCTTTGGCCGGACTGTTGGACTATGAAGATACAAGATTGAAGACTTCGTCTCGTGTCCGGATGAGACTCTACTTGGCGTGGAAGACAAGCTAGGCAATACGGATGTGCATATCTCCTCCTTTGTAACCGACCTTGTGTAACCCTAACCTTCTCCGGTGTCTATATAAACCGAAGGGTTTTAGTCCGTAGGACAACAACCACAACATACAATCATACCACAGGCTAGCTTCTAGGGTTTAGCCTCTCCGATCTCGTGGTAGATCTACTCTTGTACTACCCATATCATCAATATTAATCAAGCAGGATGTAGGGTTTTACCTCCATCAAGAGGGCCTGAACCTAGGTAAAACATCGTGTCCCCTGCCTCCTGTTACCATCCGGCCTAGACGCACAGTTCGGGACCCCCTACCCGAGATCCACCGGTTTTGACACCGACATTGGTGCTTTCATTGCGAGTTCCTCTGTGTCGTCACCAGAAGGAAGGATGTCTCGTCTCGTCTTTAAAGACGGTACTACTGCCGAGGGAGCTTTGGTTGTCGGCCAAACTCTCCGGCTAGGCGGTTTCATCATGACCGCCTGTTCAGCCGCCGCGCCGACGATGACTTCTCGGGTCATCGAAAACAGCCTCCACGTCAAATCGGCACTCGCCGAACAGATGGATCCAATAGAGCTCGCCTCCTTAAACGAGCTCTTAGATCGCATCGCCGCCCTAGGAGTCGCTACGGACTATGATCGGATTGGGCTTAAACCTGATCAAAGGGAGATTAACTCTCCGCCGGTCACCCATCATATTGCAGTGGTGGAGGAACAATGCGGAGACCTTTCCTCCATCTTGAGGACCAACTATGTCCGGATTCCCGAGCCCTCTGAGCCGGACGCCCGTTCGCGGGAGGACAACACCCAATCCCTGAACTTAAAGTCAGGCAGCGGGCCAGGGTTATCGGGTCACACCCCGGAACCGGAACTTTCAAAATTGGAAATTCCTCAGCCCCTGGATCCCAGATCAGGTGTGGGTTCGGATTCAATTCCATCCACCCACCCAAACATAAGCGACCTTTCCCACATTAGGCAAGATCCCCAGGAAACAGTACATCACTACTGGGCCAGTTTCCTCCTTGCGATGAACAAGGTTAAGGACTGTCGCGAGGAAGACGCAATCTTATTTTTCCACAATAATTTCACGGACAAGGGAATCCTTAACGCCATAAATCATCGTGAGATAACACACTTTGCTGACTTGGCGTCCATAGTACGAAAGTATTATGCGATGGAAAGTGCCTGGAAAACCGAAACAAACTTTTGGGATAATCCGTCCCTGAACACAAACCCAGTCCGAAATAAAAGGGTGCACTATCACAATACACCCGGGTTAACTACCAAAAAGAAAAAGCCCTCTGCGGGGCAAGGAACCGTACCGGAGGGATGGCTCAACGGACCCTGCAAAATTCATAGTACAGTGGATGCAATACCAACGCACAGCCTTAGAGCATGTTGGATACTCCGGCAGGTGGCCAAAAGTGGTGAGGATCTACTCCTCCCAAATACCACAGAGCAACATCCCGTGGACAAAAATATGGTGTTAACGGTCTTTGAGACCTTCGCGTCAAATAACAGACGCAAGCGAACACTCCGCAGCATGGCCGAAATCTGCCACGTAGCAGTAATAAATCCTTGGAGTGACACGACTATTACCTTCAATGCCAGTGACGAACCTAAATTCCGAACTGCCTGAGCACCAGCCGCACTGGTCCTCAGTCCAATCGTGGACAGCTTTCGACTCACAAGGTACTCATGGACGGCGGCAGCGGATTAAACCTCATCTATGAGGAAACCCTTCAAAAGATGGAAATAGACTGGAGCCGCATTGAGCAAAGTAGCACAACCTTTAGAGGAATCATCCCTAGTCAGGAAGCACGCTGTGCTGGGAAAATCACACCAGATGTGGTATTCGGCACGCCAGATAATTACAGGTCCGAAGAAATTACATTCTAAGTGGCCCCGTTCATCAGTGGTTATCACGCTCTTTTAGGACGGGAGGCATTCACAATCTTCCAAGTTGTACCACATTACGGGTACATGAAGCTCAAAATGCCCGGGCCCAACGGAATCATCACTCTCGCCAGCGATCCGGACACAGCACTCCGCGCTGAAAACAAAGCAGCCGCATTAGCCCTCGAGGCATT